TCATTTCAGGGCTGCGCGTCACGTTACGTGACGTCACGTCCAGGAGGCCTGCACAGGCGCTGACTGGATGCAAATGCCGCGTCAGCGTTGGCGTGGGACTACGATAGGAGACGAGCCCCACACGAACGATGACGCTGCATCCAATCAGCGCCCGTGCAGGCCTTAAGGGGTATTCACACGAGGGAGAAATCCCATTGATTCCTCCACGGCACGTGCATACCGCGACGAAAACGTCAGGCTTTGCGACGTGCAAAAGCCTCGCGTTTTGGTCTCGTGATGCGCGCGCGTCGGGGAGAAATCCCCGGGATTTCTCCCTCGTGTGAATACCTCTTTACGGACGTCATTTCACGTGACACGCAGACTTGAAACCTGTCTAGGAGGCTCTCTTACGTCACGAAGGCTTACGTCAGTTTACGGCACAAGTCACCGGGACATCGGTGCTTCGTACCAAGGGTGGCCTACCACTTCCAGGAGATGGGCTGGCACGCGACATTCGAGAAACGAATGTTTCGTTGACTTATACACAACGTAAGAAAACAGTGCAACTAGCCATCCCACAGGGGCGTTCTCCTAGGTTACGTTATGACCGCATACGTCGCGAGCCACCGAGACACCCGTGCTTCGGATGGAGCGTGGCGACCGGTATAAGTAGTAGCTTTGCACGCGACATACGAAACACGAATGTCACGGTGACTCCACACGGAACGTAAGAAATTCTAAGCAAACGCCTGTAAAGGCTGGTTAGACATTAAAGGTCGGTTCGACCTTTAATGTCTAACCAGCCTTTAGACTGTTCTCTAAAGCCTTTAAAGGCTGGTTCACACTGCCCCGTTTTCTTACGTTACGTTACGAAAAGTCACCGAGAAAGCTGTGCTTCGTATTAAGCGTGGCTACTGATTCAAGGAGCTAGCCTAGCACGCGACATTCGAGACACGAATGTTTCGGTGACTTAGGCGTAAAGTAAGATATCGCTGCTGTGTGAAAAGTTGAACCGAGCTCAACTCCTTACGTTACGGCGAACCTTGTGTCCTTGATTGCCATGGCAACTCACCGTCCTAGCTCTTCGTCACCGAAACATTCGTGTATCGAGTGTCCCGTGCCAGGCTATCTCCTTCAATTGGTAGCCACGCCTAATACGAAGCACAGATTCCCCGGTGACTTTTCGTAACGTAAGAAAACGGGTCTGTGTAAACCAGCCTTAAAGGGGTTGTCCGGTCAAATTTTGTATTCGAGAAAATCATTGAATATCATTGTTATTGCCTCGAGAAGCATCGTACGTGCAATATCTGAATTTTATATGTCCCTCTGCGTGAGTAATTGAATTTATACTGCTCCAATCGCATTCTAGCGTAAGCGCTGTTTTCGTTGGCAACATTGAAACTCTGACGTCACAAAACACAAAGCGAGCAGGCGAGCATTTCTGTCTCGTCGTTTGCCTGCAAGTGAACGCCTCAGCGTGCTTCGTTTTTGTTGTTGTGCTCGACTTATTTCGTGGTTGGGTGAGATTTTTCTTGTGCGGTTGGGTGCCACAACCACCGGGCAGCACATGTGAGCCAAGACATGACGTTCCACACTTTTCCGCGAAACGTGCAGTGACGAGAAAAATGGATCGTCGCTGTGCGTAGGGACTGGGTTCCCGTCAAGATCGAGATCCCGCTTATGCAGCAATCACCTCACAGAAAAGAGCTACGAGCTGAGCTCTAAGCGGACAGAAGGCTCGTAAGCTGAGGTGCGATGCTGTGCCAACGATATTAAACTACGTTCATCCACTCCTCGCCCAAATCGGATCAATCAATATGATTATGCAGCAAAACCGAAACTGTCACAGTTTCGATTCCCCTTTGACGGTTCTCCCGCTGCCCCTCTACAACGACTGTGAACAATATTTATTTTTGTTGAGGCCGGTCAGCCGGCGCGGTTGGCGCGTGTGCCCAAGTTGGGGAAGAACGAAATGAGCTCAGGCGGACACAGAGTTTGAACAATGAACAATATATTTACATGAAAAAAAAACATATATATATATATGTGAACATAAATTTCAAGGTTTGGCGCATCGGCAAACAATACACAATAAAAAGAAAACCCCAAGGTTCCACAGGAACTTCACTAAGTATAAAATTGAAAGAATTCTTTCTATTTTATACTTAGTGAAGTTCCTGTGGAACCTCGACGCGCTAAAGCGATACTACGGTTCAGAATACAAAAAAAAAACAAAAAAACAATGAAACAAGGGAACCAAGCCACGGACGGAGAGCAAATCGAAATAAAACGTCCGCAAAAGCGAAGTCCGAAGTGTACGGACGGGTCTCACTGAAATTTGGTGTCGAAGGGGCATCCTCAGCCTCTCGGCGGTGGTGAACTGGCAGGAAGACCGCGACGGTGATGATAATAAAGAAGACTCAGAAGATATCGCGTCGCCGGGACGCCATTCCCGCCGACTTCACCCCGCAACCATGAACGTCTTGCCCCCTTGACGACCCAAAAAGCTCTGCGCAAAAACCATCGGCTGATTCGGCTCCCCGCGAAAACCGTCCCCCTCCACGGCGACGTATTTCGCGCCTTTGTCGGCGCCGAAGGCACCCCCGGGGGAAAGAAAAGGAGAAACAAACAAAACCGGGTTTCGTCTTCCCGTTTGTGGTCGCCGCAACGGAATTTGCTCACTGAAAAGGCAAATTGGCGAAGGGACACGGCGAGCAGCACAAAATCGCAAAGAAAAAGCTCGTGGGAGAGTCGGCCGGCGCCAGAGTTTATGACAGAAACCAACAGCTAGGCCGTCTGGAAACAATGCCAGAAGTTGTATTTAGCACGCTTGCAGCCCGATTCTCTTTGACCCGTGTGTGAAAATGGAGCGTGACTATACGATTAATTCACCAACCTCGCCCAAGTCAATTGACGACATGCATTTGAACGATTCGCCGTTTGCCTTCGACCCGCGGACATCGCCTCTGAGGAAACGTCCCGCAGCCTCATCACAGATCCAGCGGATCCGTTGACATGTGTACCCAGATGCCGCTTCGTGTACCTAGGTGCAGCTTCAGAGGCGAAATCTGCATCCTTTGCCACCTTTGCTCTGCAAGCACCCCTAGTTCGATCGGTGGCCGTCGCAGCTGCACAGTTCTTTTTGCGCGAAACGGCATACGTTTGCTCGAAGCTTATGGCTGTTTGCCAGTAATATCCCGCTAAAAGGCGTTTTTTTTTTTTGCACATGCTTAGGAACTGCATTCAAAGAACCGTATTTTAGTAGGGTACACCCTAGAAGATTATATAATTCGAAACAAAATAAAAGACATCCATTGATCAACGCTTGTTATCCCGACCATCCGACAAACCTTTGCGTTCTGTGACGTCACGCAGCACCTACGGATGTCAGCCATTGACACTGGCGAAATTCGGGGTGCAGTTTCGTACATACGCTCATGAAAGGTTTAATTAATAACGGGAGATCATATATCGAAATAAAAATAACGTTTGTCTACATGGAGGCTCCCTTGACGCAACGAGCGCAAAAACTTAAGTACTTCCGGTTTCGACCGGACAATCCCTTTAAGCTGGGACCACAGAGCTCATACATCATACAAAAGAGTCTGCAAACACGAGTCACCGGAATATCCGTGGTTCAAATGCCGCGTGCCAAGTTTCCTCCTTGAACTCACTGCCACGCGGCATTCGAAGCACAGATCTCGCGGGGACTCGCGTTCGAACCTGTAAGCACAGATTGTCCTTTGTATGATGTGTGCGACCACGGCCTAAGTGTACTTCTTTAGAATGTGCTCTAAAGGCTGGTTCACATATTGGCACGTGAGTGCGGCCGACTGCGTTGCGATCCTTCGACTTAGACTAGGACGGGTTGGGCGGAGTTCACACAAGGTGGCGTCTAAGTATAGCGATTCAACGCTTCCGGTCATGAACTAGAAACATCTTCCGAATGATTCCGACCCCAGGGTGGAAAAAATGATGCACACAAAATGAGGACGCATACGCAGACCAGAAGCATTCCAGGGCAACGCGATAAATGGCGCCAGTGTGGTATCTAGACGCGTAAGCAGCAATAAGCTGTCGTTACGCACTCGGTCACAAACAAACGCAAGTGTCCAAACCAGCATTTAGTGCCCACGCACGAGCACAGTGGGCAAGGCGTATGTCACCCCAAAACGCACACATGAGCGAGCTACGAATGACGTACCATATTAACTTAACACTTTTTTTCTTTTTTGATGCAAATACCGGTCATTAGGAGGTCTGCACAAATGTCCACCTTCTTGACTGGCTAACCCTAGAGCCGAATGAGCCTGCACCATCTGCGTGGCAGCCTCTCAGTGCCCTCCTGGAACCACTTTTTGGAAGAGCCTCGCACCCACGCCTGGACAGCTTCTCCCAGCTTACAGATGACCGTGAAGTCCATTCAGGCCATACGCATGCACGACCAAACGTGCGACTGGTCGTATCACGTGTCAGAAAGACAGCCGAACCCGATCTGGCGCCGGTCAATCACGGCCGCACGTGAATGCACACAACGCAGCGATTGATCGGCGCCTGATCGGGATCGGCCGTCTTTCTAACACGCAATACGACCAGTGGACGTCTCGTCGTGTATAGGTAAGGCCTGAGTGGACCCCCAGTGGTTATCATATGGTGGGTGGCATGAAAAAAAAAATTACGGTTATTGATACGCTCGAAGAAGTTGCCCAGGCGTGGGTGCGAGGCTCTTCCAAAAAAAAAAAAAAAACTAGTTTCAGCAGGGCATTGTGAGGCTGCCACACAGATGGTACAGTGGCAGTCGGCTCCAGGGCGAGTCAATCAATAAGGTGGACTACTTGTACAGACCTCTAATAACCAATATCTGCAGCAAAAAAAAAAAAAAAAGTTACGTCAACATGGTACGCTTTCTGCACATGTACGGACCACCAAAAGACATGAGCTAAATAACGTTCTTCTTCCTTATTCGTTGGGAACGATGAGTCGAAAAGATGACGGGATAGAAGATGGAGGAGGGCACGCACCTTGCGTCGAGGAACCTGGACCTGAGGATCATGACGGCCTCGCAGGTGCTCTGCTTGAGCTGCACCTGGATGGAGTTGAACTTCTTGTGGATTATCTGCACCATGCGCTCGATCTCCTTGGGCGTGATCGGCCGCGTCCGACTCTGCTCTCGCAAAAGGTTCATCACGTGCGTCGTGAACTCGTTGCACGCCTGCGAAAAACAGAAAACAACACGTTTCATCAGACGACCACCTCCAAGTCACGCGCCATCAACACCTGGGACCAGCGACGGCGCCAGCGTTGATTTCCCCCCGCTAACGCCTCGCGACTGCCCATACCCTCAAAAACAGAATGCGATCACTCTCCCTCCGTTAATAATTGAGATAGTGATCGTACCGGTTAATTCAGACACCATTTCACTCCGAAAGACACAACGGTGCTTTTCCACTTAAGTTACCGAGGCATTACTTACTCGGCCAGTTACACACAGCGCTTTTGCAAACACATACACAAAAAAGGAGGAGCTCTCAGCCCGGTTGCCACCAGACGATGACGGCGCTCCACAGCGTCACGTGACACGCTGCAGTTAGCACTCGCGGCTACAGGTGGTGATGAAACCGAGCACTGCGAGAGCAGTTCAAAAGACGTGAGGAAGATCCGTGTCTGCAACGTGTTAAGCCCGGAGCAAGTAGCCCTCCACTAGCTCTGCGCGGGCTGCTTCTACGTAAGAAAAACAAAACATGTACCCCAACCTTAAAGCACCGTTCACACACTTGCAACCGAGTAGGACCGAGAGTGACAAGAGCGACTTTTAAGCCTTTTGCGACGGCGTAGGACCTGCTCTGCAGCAACGCATCCGGTCCTTCGCCGTCGCAAGGGGCTTAAAAACCGGTCTTGTCCCTCTCGGTCCTACTCGGTGGCATGTGTGAACGGTGCTAAAGGGGACTAAAGTTTGCCACGGTAATTCCCGGTCCTGTTTTGAACTAAGCTATCGTAACGCAGACCAACTTATTCGCAACACTAACGGCGTGCACGTAATAAATACCCTTTCTTCCGTTTCACATCTCGGCCACCAGGCGGCGCCAGTTTTCGCTTAGCTCCCTCCCTTCCCTAATTCCCGTCTTTTTCGCATAGGTGGTGTTGCCTCCTCTCCAGTGCGAATAGTTAACCGCTAGTATAGACCATTCCATTTAGCGCTCTCAGGGCGGCGCCATTTTGTTAGACCACAGCGCCCTCTCCACACACCCGGGAAGTTCAGCAGGTTCGGCGGGGTAAAACGAGGAGAGGGCACGCGCCCGAGTCCGCTAGCAGACGACAAACAGGGAGGTTGCCGTTCTCCATCTTTGGGCTGTGCCGGCGGGCTGTACTGAGCATCGAACTCTCGCTCGTGGCTGCCGTTATGAAGTGGTTCGCCTTCTTAGAATATTTATGGCTACTCCAAAATCAGCCTTTAGCGCTCTGTTGTTTTATTTCAGTAAAGGATCAATTAGCGTATCTTTGTTCTGTTAGTTCAATACCAGTGGTGTCAGCCGACGCCTCAACCACTGCGTCGATTGCGCCAGGAGAGCACGTTTTTATTTCTTATTTCAGACTTCCACTCATTGTCGCTAAGGGCCTTTAGCAGTACGAACTTCGTATAGTAAAATAGCGACAGCAACCGGATTTACTTTTCGCCGGAGCGACCGGCCACTCTGACCAAGTTTTTCCCTTTTTTTTTTTTATTCGCACGCAGGTAACATTGCAATTAGACTCGGTTAGTCTTTTTATCGAGCATGGCATTACACGATAACTTGGATATCAAAATCCGCGTATCTGCACTTGAAATTTCAAAAATGACGCGATTTTAAACCGAGTTTGAACGCCACACGGATTTTAGGCACAGCCCACTCGGCGGAGCAGACGACACGCGGGGTGAGAGGGGAAGGGCATTTTTTCTCTCTCCGCTCTTACTAGTGGAACGGGTTACAGAGGGGCCTTTACACAGTCGTAGGGGAAAAAAAGGTCGCTTGCAGTTCCAAGGTATCGATCCCAACGACGGACGAGCACACCCGGAGCGGATCAAGGCGCTGTCAACTCAGTGCACGAGCACAAACAGTCAACGAATTACCAAGACCTATCTGGCCGGCTCAACGACGATGGCTCTCAGGGTAATGCCTAGAGGGAAGGTTGGTGCGGGAAAAAAGAGCGATCGCAGCCCTCGGGTCGCATTAAAACGAAAACCAGCGTACAAAAAAATGAACACTCTTGGGAGGAAGCGGTGTTCACTGTTTCGCCTATTCCCTACCCTACCGTTCCCCGCGGCTCCTTATTTCGGCCAGACGCCGAGCAGGTACATACACAACCGAATGTTTAACCTTGTAGCGGGAGTAGCGATATACGACACGTGAACGAATTATTTTTGAGCGCGTTTTAGTTTCTGCTCCTAATGCATGGCGCGAGCAACCATCCTTACCAATCTTCTTCGCGATTCATCGTAACACTGTTTCACCACTCACAACTGAGTTCTTGGTTGATGAAAACGGCGTGTCTCGAGCAGGTTTTCTTGTATCTCACTGCCTCAATCGATGGGCGATTGTTTTGTTAGGTAACGGAGGAGCGCCTTTTATCCGCACGTTTACCCCACGCTCCGGTACGGCTAGCGAAGCTAAAAGTAATAATACGGACGGACAGAGACGGTCGACGCTGCCTGCAAGTGACCCAGAGTCATCAACGCAGTCGGACCCGGCCGAGAGGCTCGCGTTGTTGTTCCGACAGCGGTGGCACGGCGCCGCACGTAAGGGGCGAGGGGATAGAGAGGCGGTAGAGCGGCACCTGGCGGGCACCTGGGCGCGCGAGTGGGGGGCTCCCGAGAGCCCGGGGCGGCCCTAATCACCTCCGATGGGGAGGTGGTTTCTATCGGGCGGCTGACAGCGCGGCCCGCGAGGGGCCCCGGCGGCCCTTTTATCTGATTGAAACGCCTCCCAACAAAGTTCTTCCCACTCTCGCGAGTGCCGGCCCAATAATAGCATTAGCAAAGAGGCAAACACTAATAGGCGCCGTTACACGCCGCCCGTGAAATTCAAGCGGACAAGCGGCCTATCGCGCGCCGCCCGTCCGACGCCCCGGACGGAGGAGACGTCGGGCGGGCCTCGCCACAGGTCCGTCCAGGGCGAGGCACCACGGCCGAGAAAGAGGGGCCCGAGCGGGCTGGGCGAAAACGCCGACCGGAACACCGACCACGGGAACTCTGCGAAAGCCGAGACCCTCGTAGCAGGAGGGCCACTGGAAACCGGAAGCGAACGAGTCGTCGTGAGCATTGTTGCACTACGCGTTGTCTCGGATTCGACGCACACTTGCGCCTTTCGCTTGGACCCGTTATGCGGAAGCTATGTCGAACTCGAGAAAGCCATCAATTCTAAAATAACCTTTCGAAAAAAAAAAAAAAAAAAAAAAAGGTATTATTAAGTTTTAGTGCATGTTTTGGGTTTCGAGCAAAAACGTACGCAATCTGCATGAAGTAAAAATGAGCCGTAAAGCTGGCAGGCATTTACTCTCGTCTCCAGCGGAAAGCTTCGGGTGTGCACCACAGCAGGAGGAAGTTGGCGACGCGATTTAGACCGGTCACGGCGAGCGCTCGAGGCGTCAGTGACCGGTGGAACCGAGCTTCGAGCACCCGGAAGAGCTTAGAAAAAAAGTGCCGATGGGTCCACGCAATTTGCGCGACTCCTCAGCGATGCCGTCCATCGCAAGGCCTCCCGGTCGCTGGCCCGGGCCTCGATTCGAGCGAGTCGCCCGAGGGGAAAGCGTCCTGGATTTCCCTTCTTTCTCCCATCAGCGGGAAACGGCGCCCCGCGAGAAGAGCGGGCGAAGGGAGTCGCCCCCGAAAAAGAGGCGAATGTTGCTGAGAGCGGCGATCTGTCGACAGCCGCGGCGCCAGGCTCTGAGACCATTGGCTGGACGCACGTGAGGGCCGCCGCCGCGAAGGGGCGCCCGCTCTCCATTCCTTTTCCCGCCGCCATTTCCTGGTGCCCCGTGTTTGTTCGGCCGGACAGTGATGAGTGTGCTAACCATTTCTCTTAATGGCCGTCATCTATTACGCGCCCGGGGGCCCCTTTCACCGGCTCGCATCCTGTCGATAACGCAACAAAGGCGCGCCGGGGGCCCGCGTCCAGGGCTCGGAAGAGCGGCGGGCGTCGCGCGAGACTTCTCGCCTGGCCACGTTCGGGGCGATTCGGACAGAACGCGGCACGGGTCCGTTCCCTTCCTCACGGCGCTGAGAAGTGTCGAAGAAAGAGGCCCGAGTGGAAGATGAGACCCGATCAACAGACATTCACTCGCAATACGCTCGCGAAGCACTCGAGTTCAGACGAGTCTCGTCGCTAACACGAGCAAAATGAATCTCGGATGACATTCTCCTCCAGCAACCCCCATAACGGGCCGGGCCTACCACGTGATACCGAAAAGCGTGTTAGGGCGAGTCGTGCAGGCTGGGCTCCTCCGAGGTGGCGGCCTTCTTTCTCTCGACAACCGAGGAACCGAAGCCATTGTAAATCTGTCTAGAGTATGGCAGTAAACTTCATCGATTAACCTAAGGAAGAACAAGTTTATGCATGAACCGTCACCGAATTTCTTCGCCAGTTATTCGGTGAAAAACGAACTCTTCCACCGGTTTGTCACGGCCATCGTCCGCAGTCAAACTCAGTATCGAGCAACCCGGGTGAGACTTGCGCTCATTCGGAACGCCGCGTCTACGCTGCACACAACCGCCAACCCTCTGACCTTGCTCCGAGGGACGAGCGGGCCCTTCCGGCTATCACTGTGCCCTGCGAACGCGCTAGCTAGCTCGGAATCTTTAACAAACTAAAGAACCCACTAGATAAAACAGTTACTTCGTTTACATGCTGGCGCAGTGAAATGCAAGTAATCAACAGGTGTCACGTCTCTATTGACTGTCATTTGTTATAATCGTGAGTAGTTCGACTTTGTCAATCTGCTCCTTAACTTTCTCATGGAGAATACTCGGCCTAAATCTCGTTGTCATCCTCCTTTTATGTCTTCCTACGCTAAGGAAATGAGGAATTAGCAAAGCACAGCGAGGCTGCTTTCTGAAGTCTAACGTCTCATATCTCAATTAAAATTTCCATTAATTATTACTTAATGACTGGGTACTTAAGGTCAGTAAAAATAGTGCATACATTTGTTTTTGTCATTTTGTCTGACTCTGTCGCCAGC